AAATATAGGTGGTTGTCAAAATTAGGGTCCCTTTTGGGGTACCCTAAATAATAGGTGCCGTATTATAATAAGGACCCGAAAAGGGACCGTAATTTTGACAACCACCCATATATAAAGAAGCTATAATAAGGAACCACCAAAAGATAGGTTATTTGGGGGCCGGGTTGGGCTTAGGGTCTAGGGTTTAGGGTACTTGTCGAGTAACCATGAAAGGAACCCTTTTACGGGTTCCTGTAAAGGGCTCTAGAAGGTTGACTCTAAGGGTTCGTATAGTGAGCTTTGTGAAGGGAACAGGGCTTTGGCATGTTCAAACAACCCTTTGTAAGGAGATTAAGCAGTAGTAGTTCCAATCAGTCAAGCTTCTCAGGCATACGGTTGATGATATAAATCCTGCATGACCCATAATCAGGAATATAGCATAATTCCTTTTCGGGTCCTTAAGGTAATGCGAGACTTTTATCATCAGCCGTAGTCGTGTATACCTCGGCCTTACGGAGGTTCTTGTACAGGGGGTGTCGGATCAAAAATGGCACCCGTATGTGCTCTAAACCCCAAACCCTAACCCTAGACCCCAAACTCTAAACCCTAAGCCCTAGACCCAAAGCTCTAAACCCTAAACCCAAAACTCTACACCCAATATGAGCCAAGTACTAAACCTTGAAACCTCGACCCCGAGTTGAGGGTTGAAGGTTTGAACTCCTAAACCCGGAAACTCGATAAACCTGCAAACCAAAGCCTGGTACAACTCTCAAAGGAGCCCGTCGACTTAGGATTCCCCATAACTCCCTGAACGGGTTAGGGTTCAGGGTTTAGGGTTTAGGTTTTAGGTGTTAGGTTGGTTGGTTGGTTTAGGGTTTAGGGTTTAGGGTTTAGGGTTTAGGGTTTAGGGTTTAGGGTTTAGGGTGTGCGGTTTAGGGTTTAGGGTTACCTCCGACAGAAGGCCTGCTCAAGCCCACAGAGATGTTGGGCCCCAGTGCTGATGGTAAAGGCGCCAGGAAAATCCTCCCGCACAGGGATAACATGGGAGTTTCGGAAAATTAGGGTACCTTATTTTGGGATCCTTATAATAAGGATCCTACTATTTAGGGTACTATATTGGGGTCCCCTACTTTCGGAAACCCCCACATCAATCCTTCAGAAGGATTTCTTAGCATCCCCCTAGAAGGCCTAAGGGCCCATACTACGGCTGATGAGAGAAATCCTGCATTACCCATAAGTAGGGTTTAGGGTTTAGGGTTTAGGGTTTAGGGTTTAGGGTTTAGGGTTTAGGGTTTAGGGTTTAGGGTTTAGGGTTAAGTAAGGAATATACAGTAATTCCCATAGAATGGGGTCCTTAAGGTAATGCAGGCCGTTCAGTGTCTCGGATTTATGCTTCCCGGGTTTGAGACGTACCATTCAGCCCCAGTGCTGCAGGGACATGATAAGCGTCCCTTTAATTTGAGGGAAGCATGTAACCCTAAACCCTAAACCCTAAACCCTAAACCCTAAACCCTAAACCCTAAACCCTAAACCCTAAACCCTTAGAGGGGTTTGGAGTTCATTAAAGGAATCCCAAAGGGCCAAAGGGGTCCTCTTGTCTTACCCATCGTCTACACTTAGACTTTGGAGGAATTTCACACGAGTATTTTAATCTACAGGCAAAAGTATGCATGCATGTATGTATGTGAACTTTAGGGTTTAAGCTTTAAAAGGGTTTAAGGTTTAGGGTTTACCTATAGTCTCCATTGTAGTTCCTTTTTTTGGTTTAACCACTTGCAACCAATAGGTTTTACGGAGGGAGCTTCACCTTACTTCTAACCTACATACAAAGCCCACTGAGATTAACACCGGACCCGAAACGTGCCCGAAGCCTACCCTAAACCCTAAACCCTAAACCCAAAACCCCAAATTCCTAGGACACACGCCTGGACCTTATAGAAACTCTTAAGGCGCCAAGGCGCACTTAAGCCAACCCTTGAGCTCGGCTATCTGCTGCTTGCTGTTTTCTCCTGAGCGACCAACTTACTTCCCCAATAAGCCAGGGAAGCAAGCGGGTAAGCTTTCAGATTGCTACTAAGTTATAAGAACCCATAAAGTTTACAGGTTGGGTATTGGAGAACTAAGCCAAAGCAACAGCAGCTTGCTGGCTGATGCCACACTGAAGCTTCTGCTTGGCCGCCTCGCTCTGCCAGCACTGGTACATGGCACGAAGCCGCTGGTTCGCCATGCGCTGAAGCTTTGCTGTTGTTAGGGTTTAGGGTTTAGGGTTTAGGGTTTAGGGTTTAGGGTTTAGGGTTTAGGGTTTAGGGTTTAGGGTCTAGCGGTTCGGGTTTAGGGTTTAGGGTTTCGGGTTTCGGGTCCTTCTCGGCAGCGGTCCATTTCATCACAGTCCATTCATCTGGCATCGAGTTCACCATATTTGATGCCAGCGCCGGAGGAGGATGATGCTGACCCCGAAGCCTCCGCAAGCTGCTGCTTCACGAAGGCATCTTCTTACTTCACCCTACACCCCTAAACCCTGAACCCTAAACTCTAAACCCTAAGCCCCAAACCCCAAGCCCTTTGGATGAATACTTCTTACTGAGTTCCTGAGCCTTCTCTAGCCCGATCCCGAAGCCGAAGCTCTCAAGGCAAACATCTTGCAATGCTATACAGGTGTGCATGGCTCTTTACAAGGTCTTGGGGAGAAGTTTAGGGTTTAGGGTTTAGGGCTCTTTATAAGGTCTTGTGGAAGGGTTTATGAAGGCTTTGCGGGGGTCCTCAGTGACTTCGCAATGCATCCCACAAGGACTCTGGAAGGGTCTTTGCAAGGTTTCATATAGGGGTTTCCAACAGTTTGGGGGTACCATATTTGGGGGTACTTACAATAAGGATCCTACTACTTAGGGTGCTATATTAGGGTCCCCTATTTTCGGAAACCCCCATACAGGGCCATAATGAATAGATTCTGGCTTTGGGCGTATGTATTGTAGACCACTCCTACAGGGACTACACAGAGATGTCATTCTTGATCATTCAATCAAAACACGCTATTGACCTCGCAACCTCAGCCTCCAACCCACAACCTGAATATAGGGGCCTTAATAATTACAAGAGGGTCTTCGGGCCCACTATACTATAGTTATGATAAGGACCCCCCCACCCCCCCCACAAACAAACAACTATATACATATATATATATATATATTGAAACGTTTTTGGGTCCCTGTACTAATCGACAAGAAACGGAAGATTGAGACTCGCACGGTTGATGATATGAATCCTGCAGTACCCATAAGAGGGAACATACAGAAACCCTAAACCCTAAACCTATTTTAAGATCCTTAAGGTAGTGCAGGATGTATATCATCAACCGTGGGATCAGGTTTCCCCTAAGCCCTAAACCCGAAACTCCTCAAAGCTGTAGCCGAATTGCCCAACAGGCAAGTAGCGTACCACCCCACACTTATGGGGTGTACCCGAAAGGGTTTATCGGATTTAGGATTCAGAGTTAAACGAGCCTACTGTTTAGAGGTATACAAAGTATACCTGTCGGATCCAACAACCTTTAGGATTTAGGGTTAAAAAAGTTGAGGGTTTCAGGGGACACAGCGCATACCTGTGGAACCAATAAGCTAATGCATAAACGGCCATGTCCTACATTAAAGGATCATTATTTTCAGTGGCTGGAGCTACAAGTAACTTTGAAACAGTAGGTAAACGGAGGCGCCCGCCCCACCCCCTTCGCACAAAACATACGAAATCGTAAATCCTGAACAACCCTACACCCAAGACCGCTCAAGCTATGGTTGGGTCCTCGGTACGATTGCCCTCGCCCTCGGCAAGCTCGGCCGCAGAAGTAGCCAGCGGAAGAGCCAGCAGCAGCGCAGCGATCGAACGAGGCATGTTGCTGGATGGGTTGGACAAGGCCGAGGTTTAGGGTTTATACGGTTCTAGCGTTTAAGGGTAGAGGGTTCAGGGTACATAGGTGTAGGCTACCGAGAACAATCTAGATGCCAGAACAAGAAGACTCTATGTTCACAACTCGGATGCCAAGCCTAAGACATTGATATCCAGACTTGCATCACGAGCGTAGGGTCTTGAGGCATGTAGTTGATCAATTACTTGTAAGAGTTTGCACAAGTTGGTCAGCATTGAGGGACTGTCCAGAAAATGGCTGATGCCATGGTTGCTGTTTTGATGCATGGTGAATGCGTAACTTGCATCTTGAGGCGACGAGTGAGGTCCAGAAGCTAGCGCCTGTGCAGCGACGAGTGGGCTCTTCGTCTGGGTTCTTTTTTAGAGCGAGCTACTGTAGAGGCCTTAATAATTAGAATAGGGTTTTAGGGCATATTATACCAACAAAAACTTTCAGAAGGAACCCCCCCAAAATATTCTAGGCAGTTACAATTCGACCCCTAGCAAACCCTAAAGCCTAAACCCTAAACCCTGGTCCCTATAATTTAAGGTATATTCGTTAATTATATGGGAAGTCTGCGGCAAGCCCTGTATGAGGTTTCCGGCAAGTCTTCCCAGAGAACCCAATACCCCTTAACTAAGGAATATACCATAAATCATCATATTAAGGCCCCTACAATTTATTTAAGGTATATTCCTTAATTAAGGTGTATTGGGTTCTCTGGGAAAGCCCTAAACCCTAAACCCTAAACCCTAAACCAAAGCCCCTGCGCACAAGGCCAAGGATCCCTAATATGATTTAAGGTATATTTTCTGAATCAAATGATATTGGAGTCTCTGGGAAGTCTTCGGGAAGCTTCAGGATCCAGAGCAGTCCCTGGCAGCTAGCTTTGTATAAGGGGCCTAAATAGTTAGAATAGGGCTCCTTTAAAGGGATCCTTAAAGGCTTCTATA